AGTGTTGTTGTTGTTGTTGATGATGATGATGATGATGATGATGATAAGATTGATGCGAGGCGGAAACGGTCTTTTTAGAAGCAAGTTTACGTAGACTTCAATGGCATTTTGAGGTCCATTCATTTGACTGTCTGGGAAAACTCAACTATCAGTTCTTAAATCACCTTAAACGATCCAGGCTGGCCAAGTTTTGATTCAAGCATTAGTGCTAGCCTCGAAATTTACTTATATCGAAAATAAGAAGGACATGTTTGCCTGGAACGAGCTGATAGACAGCCGTCAAAAGCTTAAATTGTGTCAATGGGTCACTGGACCGAAAGCCAGCAAGAGACTTGATTTTTGCATGAAGTCTACTTGTGTCGAACACTTCAAAATGTCGTTTGCATCGGTGAAAGTAGACATCAATCGAAAATGGTACATGCACATCTACAACATGTGAAGCTGACCTATTTTAACGCATCGGTTGTAGTTGCTTTAGGACTCTTAACCCGTTTAGAACAAGATCAAACTTGGTTTCCTCATCTAATCTAATTAAAAAGTGTCCAATACTCGCTCTTTTAGCAAGAACAGAAAAGGATTACTCTGAATTTAGGTTTCCTTGTATCCTGGTCGAAATGAATTAAGCCCAAATTAAGAACTACTAGCATTCCCTTCTATCTGCAAGCTCTGCCTTAACATCTAAATAAACGCTATCTCTTCATCGTACTCATATACAATTTTGCTACATTTTTATGGATTAAGACTATGTGCTAGTCCAAACATTTTGCACTTTCGAAGGGTTTCACACTTGCGTGTCCTCTGATGGCCCAAGAAATCATGATTTTAAGGCAATAAATCGTAGTCAATCACCTGATGGGTGCATATATGTGAGTGTGTGTGTGTGTGTATGCATGTTTATTTGCTTATTTGCTGTAAATGTGTCTGTCTGGCTGCATATATGCATTGCTGGTGCTGGTTTTTTCCCTTCTTTATAGACGTGTAGGTGTACATGCATACTAGAATGTGTGTCTGTAAGCATATACTTACTTTTGCATGTGCATGTATTTGACCTACCTAGTGCATCTTTTTGTGTATGGCTCAAAAGGTCGGAAATCCTTGAACTAATTGCATGACCCAATCGAAATAAAAATTCACCTTAGCCCAAGTTCAGACTCGAAAAGGGGAGGGAGGCTTATGCCACCGAAGCGAGCCTATTTCGGTAGCACTGAAGAGGCTGACAGTAGGAAAGGTCTTGAAGAGTTTGACTCTGCCGAAACATGAAGCTTCTCGAGAGGCTAGAAAAAATCCTTATTTCGGATGCTAATATGCCATGGACTTTTTGGAAAAACCTTGTCATCTTCCGTCCGTTTGCCGTGAAGAGATCCGAGGTGTTGGGCTTATTTGAACTGCGATCATGTTGAATAAAAAAGATGCCATTAAGTATTGAGACGACATCGAGAGTGACCTTGTGACAAGGCTAAGATGTAAACCAATAAATGCAAGCAGCTGCTGACCGCCGAAATTTTGGGTAGTTTGTAGTCTATTTTTAACAACGAAATTTCGCCCAACCAGTCCACCTTCTGTCTCAGAATTCAAAGAATGGGATATTTTCCGACATTCTTAAGTAAAGATTCATTCGGTACATGTCGCTTCATGGAGGACGTCAAGCGTTTTATCAAACTTCCGAGTCCGGCCTCGCTGGTATAGTGTGCCAGAGCGACTTGCCAACAGTCTGTTAGCAGATGTAGGATGTACTCTAGGCCCGATCAAGACCCTGGCTTAAGGGTTGTGGACACGTCAATAGAGCCTTAAGTTGGATTATGGTACATCTACGATTAGAGACGCTTCTCTTCTCAGCCTCCTGACTAGCTTGGTTTAAACTTGCATTTTTATGACCCTCTATTTAACATGCTTCAGAGCTATTTCAATTGCAAGATGTGAGTTCAACTTTAAATAATTAAATAATCAAAATTACTTAGATAAAAAATTAATGAAATTATAAATAATTAAATTAAAACATTAAAAAGAGCCAGCTCAAATATAATTCCAATTTAGTACGTTTTTCACTCTATGCAGAAGTAAGGTGATGCAAAAAATTGTAGGTACATCTGATCAGAAGATGAAGAAGATTTTCCCTTCATCAACTGTTGTTTGAGTTCACTGGGACGTTTGACCAATATTGAGTTTAATTCTGATTAAAGTCACCTTTAGGCTCAGAAAAGTCACTCAGCCGGCAATGAGTAATAGATGTGATGAGTCTCTAGGATGACTTAAGGACGCATTTTTTAATCTGTCCGGATTACTCTGAACGGTCAATTTGGTTTCCTATCCACAAGCATGCATAAACACACACGTGCACATACTCAATTTCACATCAACGTGGATAGATATCTTAAGGAAATAACCAAATCTTTATCTAATTGCCGTCTGGTGAGTGGCTTAGTGAGTAATAAACCAAGCACTAACCAGCAGGTTCGTTTTCACGAATTGGTGCAAGCTTTGGATTGTCATAAGAATGCATGCCTGGACTGATGCTGTCGGATAAGTCACATATAAGTGGAAACTTCAACGTATTCCATCCAGAACCAACATGAGCCCCACATTCTAACAAAATGTCGTCAGACCAAGGCGAATCCGGTGCAGTCTTCTACTGACGTGGACCCTTCTAATCGTTTTTGCATGAGTTGATACATCAGGAGCTACCCTTAAAAACGACTTTTCTTGGTATGCATAATCCAGCTATGTAGATATGAGGAAATTAAAGGATTCACAAGTCGATTTCATCAAAGAACAGCAGGGAAATCCGCTTGGTTAAACAATATCTAAATCTTCTGGTTGATGCATTTTTTTGCTGGAACCATGAGAGATTTTTTGAGCTCCGCGTCGAACAGGAGGTTCCAGTCAACCAGGAATCTTCCGGAGTATGTAGGAAAACAGGGTTTCGAAGATTGCCTTTCATTTCGGTTGAAGAGGATCCAAAAAATTGGCCTCATCGGAGACTGTAGGAGCTGGGATTGCGGATTTGTGCGAATAGGTCTTCGGCGCATCGCCATGCGACCACAATGAATCCTCGCTGAGCCTTCGTCGATCATGTGACGGACATCATGCTTAGCGATAATTCACTAAAACCATGAGACAACAAAGGTGGCAGGTTGCAAACCCATCTACTCCTTATGGTCCAATTTGGTCCACTTATGCACCTCATGTTTTTGTAGTCATTTGACCTTATTTTCGCAATTTGGTCATATTGTCAGGAAGACCTCGAGGAACACACCGAGTCCGGAGTCCATTGCATTCTTGGTCATTTCCAGACTCGGACCGTGGGCTGATGTTCGCCGGCATGGTAGTCGGTATCGTCAGTGAGTCTTTTCATTCTCAGCACCAAACTACAACTCGTCAAAGAGACAAGTGAAATCAATCCCTCGTGTGGAATATAAACATGTCAGAAGTTGTGATGGGACGAAGTCGTGAACGAGGAGTGATAACACAACCGTTTCTACAGAAAGTTGGTCAAGGGATTTAAATCACTTGTCTCTTTGACGATGTGTAGTTTGTAGCTGAGACGATACCGATTACGATGCCAGCGAATATCAGGGAATGTACCAAGCTCACGGTCCGAGTCTGGAAATTATCATACACACTCTGGACTCCGGACAATGTGCCTTCCTCGAGGTATTCCGGTCAATAAGACTAAGTTGCGAAGACAAGGTCAAACAACTTCCATACAGTAAAAGGAGACCGCGACCATACAGCAGGCCATACCATCCTGGTCTTCATACAAATATGATTTATTGCTCATACTTTACAGGGCATATTAGCTGTAAATACAACTGTGCATATAGTTGATAAAGTATGCAGAGTACAAAACCAATCGAAACTGGTATACATCCAAAACACACACGAATGGATTTAATGCTCGCCTGCACCAAACTGCTTCATACTCAACACACACACACACATGCACATTTATGTATGTGTTAACTCTTACAATTACCTTGTCATGCCTGGAATACTTTCAATTGTGTAGTACAGCAGAGATGCAATCACACAAATTCAACTCTACTCAGGTCTTGATCTATATCTCCTTTAGATCGGCGATACTTCAGTGCATTGACGACAGTAGACTTGTGTGTTTTGTTGGTTCCGGCTGCTCGCAATCGCCTACTTCCAGCTGAATATACCAGTCTAGGGAGAACTTTTATGTACTGTCATGTAAGCAAATGCAAGATCTGGCTACGATTGCCTCTGCGATGAGAAACGGTGGCCAAGCCACGGAAGGCGGGACGACGCGCAGGCCATGGTTACGTCAGGTCGCCCATGAGACGAGGGCTCTACGCATGTGTGACCTTTGAACTTGAGTAGCACGACTTCACTTAGGCTGTATGGTACTGGCTAGTGAATCCCACCCCGGGATGCCTGGCGCGTAAACACACCTCGGTCGGGTGTGTCAGCACACGCAAACACACCCACTCACCAGCACAGACTGAAGCACCAACCTCGACTGGGCGTTATGACCTCGGGGCCGGGTCTGAAATGAGTCCGATTCCCCATGTCGTACAAGAGTGGACTTTGCGGAGATCGCAGACGCCTTAATCTGGAATGAAGTGGCTGATTTGCTCAATGCCGTGTAGGCGAGAGCTCGTGTGCCTAGTTTTGCGTATCCACCTGCATAATCGAGGGAGATTTCATGGGATATGGTATAAAAGCAGATGGCAGAGAGGCTCATTCAAGGAATGCTGACGCCCGTATGTCTGTGTGTTTGTGTGTATGTGTGTTCGGTGGGTTTTTATGCACACTTTCAGGCAAGTCTATCAACCGTCTACAGACCATTCTCTGCCAACCGATCGGTGCTAGAATAAACTAAATATTTGTTCTAAAATTTTGCATTGAACCGTAGTCATGACTACGTAAACTGGAGAGGACTGTGCTTCATTTTCAGCTCAATACCACCGCGCAGCAAAAGAAATGTTCAGTATAATGAAAGTTAAGCAGTTAGAAAATGTGGAAATTCATGCCAACCAAACCGTTTTTAGTCATTTTGCCAGAACCCTGCCTCAAAGCCTCCCTTGCCCTCTTTACACTCGCTTACACGTGAACAAAAAATAGCTGCAACAACCCACATATTGCCGTCAAACACACACATACACTCAGTCGGAGCATCATGATTATATGTTTTCGCACACATGAGGTTATCTCAGCCCTCCTCGTTGCAACATCCCACCTCATTCCACCTTTTGTTCTTTGCAATGGACATGGTTTAAGTAATCGCCCAGTCAAGAGGCGAACGGCTTTTGGTACTCCTCGATCTCCCTCTGGCCCTAATGGCTGGCTTGGAAGGCCAGAGAAAAACAAGATAGCCAACTGGGTTGAATTTTATTGCTCAATTTGTACGGCAACCCCAGACATGTCCGGGGTAGTTATCATGTTCCCCGGGGCGCAGATAGGCAATTATATAAGTCGCTCCTCGAAGACGGCAGAGCCTAGTTAAACATGCAGCGGTATACAAGCCTTCTTCGCATAAACCTTTCATGTAAAAACACTTAATGAATAGGCGTGTTCGTCTGCCCGCAATTCCCGTTTAAGTTCTGAACATTTGGGTCTGGATACCACGGGACTGCTGCCATACTTCTGCATATTGGCATAGTCTTGTGTATATATATATATATGTATGTATGTATGTATGTATGTATGTATGTATGTATGTATGTATGTATGTAT